CTTTTGTCCAAATCCAGTAATATATTTAGGACATGAGTGAACAGAGGCTGATAATCTAACCAAAAATCATATTCATTAAAGCCATGCTTCTTAAATTTAATGATTATAATAATTTCCAATTTCAATTAGAATATTAATAATGCATCTTACTTGTATTTAGAAGAACTTTTAAAATCTTTTAAAAATCTTTCATCACCAACTTGTAATGCAATAGGAATCAAATTAAATTCTGTATAATTGTTATTGCCAACACCATTTAATCCAACTCCACCATTATTATTATTAGTGGTGGTGTTAGTAGATGTAGTAGATGTAGATAATAAATTACTATGGATGTTGTTAACAATATTGTTATTATTGGCAGTGTTATTATTATTATCAGTAGTTGGCAGAAATTCATAAGCCTTTAAATCAAAATTACTATTTTTTTCTTTTGACTGGACATAGAATGTTATGACCAAGTTTATGATCGGTTCATTTAGACTATTTGTTGGAATATCCAATAACAACAAATGTGTTGGATCGTCATCAATTCTCAACGGTGTAAAATTACAAGTTGTCTAACGAAAAAATGATTCTTATTATTATGTATTAATTATTATTTAAAGTTTTATTATTTAAAAACAAAACCTTTGTTGAGTGCACTTCTATTGTGCCATCAGTGTGTACAAAAGCTGTTAATGATTGTGAGTTGGATTGAATAAATCGAAAAATAGGTTTAGTTGATAAAGAATATGAACAAATTGACATTTTTTAAATTTTTTTTTATTGTTGTTACACGCAATCATTTACATGTGATATATTCGGGCCTGACCAAGTTACAGTAAAAATTTGAAATGTCATTTTTTTCAAATCATGGCCCATTTTATTGCAGTCCAGTTAAATCTTTGTAACAATGTAGGCAAAACCCATGGTGAAATTAATATTTGGAGCAAATTTTACACTCAAAAAACAGATTCGCAGCAGATAAATTAGATGCATGCCAACATTTTCGATTTTAATCATATTTAACTTCACCTTTGTCACATTTAATATTTCTACCTGTGATAATTTGAGCTGGAAAGATTACTTTCAAATTTTTATC